AGTTTAACATCTTCAAACCTTATAATAAAGTGGGGGATATGAAGGACACCTGCCTCACAGAGTTGTTGTAGGATGGAATGTGATAATGCATAAAAAGCACTTTCTACATGCTGGATTTATGATAGATTCCTAATAAGTGGTATATGCAGATATAAAATTCCAAAAATGATATCTGCAGTGGGACAAATCAGTTATTTTTCAAAATGGAATATTTCAATACAGAACAGATGAAAAACCTGGAAAGATTGATAGGCTAGTTTGTGAGGGTTTTGAATGCCAGGCTAAAGGATTTTGATTCCATTCAAAAATGTCTTACTTAAAATGCTCCATCTTCGGTTAAAATCCATTTGTTTTTCTACAAGCCTCAGTAGTAAAAGAGATACAATGTGAGCAATTGATCTCAAGTATATAGCAATATTGCAGTAGAGTACTAAAGATAATTCAGGTGGCCTTATTCACAAGTTTTATCAAATTATCAATAGACACATTTTGAACATTTCATTTTTGTCCTACTCTGCAAAATGTTTGTAAATTTGGTCCATTTTTACCTGCTTTCTGCTACACTGAGGGATTTCTTGATCTGGTTAATATGGTACTGTAAACTGATGATAATTCCTTTTCAAGCACTTAAGGCATCAACACAACACTCATTTGATTCTTCAAGCACCATTAAATTAAACCTCTAACAGCACTATAAAGCGTTAGTAGCACATGTAATTATAAGTCTTTGGTGTTTATCAGTGGGACACTATCTTAAAATGGCCAACTACCCAGGTGATGGCTCCACTATCCCATCTAATCAAGACAGGGAATTGCTAAGGTGATGAGCAGCTAAGTATGTCACCATCTACACTGTTGAAACTTGGAGGAAAGCAGGCTAAAGATCCTTAGTAACATTCAATACTCTTTATACCAATTAGCCATATGATAGCATGGAATCCAAGAGCACAAGACACACTTTCAGATCTAAGCTGTTAAATTCTTTTTTCAATTGTAATTATTAATGCATATTGATTGTACAAATTGATGGGTTCCACTGTGACATTTCCATACAGGCACAAGCTGTTAAATTGTGATAAGTAAAATACCAAGTTTATATTTTTAAAAGTCTCAGTATTTCATGATAAATATTCACAAGGGGCATAAATAAACTTCTGCAGAATAGCGTGATTTTAATTTTAAGTTCCTCTGCTGACTGCTGATTTAAAGCCTCACTTATTTCTAACTCCACAAGATGAGGATGTTTTACTTACAATAAAATCACAAATAGCTCTAATGTAGAAGTAGTATCACCAGTAATATATTAGGCTTGAGGAGTAGCATGTGTTGATTTACCAAAACTATGGACATTTGGCATTTGATTTCATTTGTACTCATCTCTGAGAATATTAATCATATATTTAGTATATGAGCTCTGAGAATCTGAAATGGCTATCTAAATATACTATTGTGAGATATGTGTAGGGTTATAGAGTTATATTCAATTAACCTATGTCTCAATTAATGTAAATGGAGCATCAAGCTTTGAAGAGAAGAGCCATTTTTTTTTTTAGTTTACTGTTCTGCTATCAAGAGTTTACCTCCATTGATTTAATATTGAAGTGGTTAAATGTGGAATGACTTTTTCGATGAGATGAAAAATATTTCAATTATTTGAACTCTTGCCTCTTTACTACACTGATATACAACTAAATGTGTACTGGCATGCATAGTCTGTCAATACAAACCAAAAGGGCATATAATATGCAATGTGACTTTTGCCAGTAGACAAAACCAGAAAATTGCTTTCAATAGGAATTTGGTAGAAAGGGGCTTGTAGTGGGGTCAGATTGACTGGGAAGTGAATAGGCTGGGGGAATAGATGTGAATTGCCAAGAAAGAGAAGGGTTAAAAACAACAACACAACCCAACAGAGGGTGATAGGAAAGTGTGCAGCATATGGAAGAAAAAAAGAAATGAGCCTAAGTGCACATGTGCATGCTCATAATGCACACACAAATAATTTCTCATCTTTCCTTCTATGAAGAAATGAAATAAGATCTAAACATTTCAGCATGACCCAGAAGTAAATGAAGACAACTGAGGGCAAAGCAGAGAGGGTAGAGTAGTAGGTGGCATCTAGAGAGGCTGGAGGTGATATCCAAATGTGAGTTCTAAGATAAAGGAAATGTGAAGTAGATCAGTGGATAAAATAACTCACAAAGATGTGCTGCATCTGCAGCCACTGAAAATGAAATGACATTGAGTTATGAGCAAGGTGTTTGGACTCAGAGAAGCATGAATAGGAATCCAAGCTTTTCTACTTACTGGCTCTATGACCTTGGGTAAAGTCTCGAATTCTTCATCAGTAAAATAGGTATTCCTATTTTATAGAGCATCTCATCCATAGTAACTGATCAATAAATAGAAGCCATATTTATTGTGAGTATAACTGATGGGCATGCATAAGTGAATTTTTCCTCCAAGAAGCTATGTCCTAGTAAGTTCCTGTAACAATCACTTTGTGGTAAAGCAGGGATTTGTGAATATGTTGGAAAGGGAAACTGCCTAAACATTCTTCCCTAATCAAATTACCTAGGAAACTCATGGAAAGTTCAAATGACACAGGTTCTAAATACATAGAACTTGCAACAAAATTAGCAATAAGCTGGATCCACACAAAACTTTCTCTCCATCGAAAAGCTTCACATTATCTTTTCCCTTACAATTTTTTAAAACTCAGGAATAATATAGGAAACTATAATTAGCATCTCAGAAAATACATTTAGCAGGCTAGAAAGTAAGAATGATAAAATACAACTCAACACACACACATACACACACAATTGAGGATTGATTCTCTTATGAAAACTACACATGTGCAAGTACACATGTTCATTTTTTACCAAACAAACAAATAAATAAAATCATTTGCTCTTGTGTAAACATAATATAACTATCAGAAAAGTTATAAGGAATGATGTTATTTTTTAGATTTCTGTTACTGTGAAAAAATACTTGAGGAGTTAAACTTGAAGAGAAAAAGATTTAATTTGACTCATGGTTTCAGAGATTTCAGTCCATGATTGGTGACAAGGCCTGTGACAAGGGAGAGCATCATGGCAGGGAGCATATGGTAGAGCAAAGCTAATCACTTCATGGTGACCAGGAAGCAGAGAGGGAGAACAAGCATAAAAGACAGACTAGGGACAAGATATGGCTTTCAAGAGCATGTCCACAAGGATCGACTCCTTCTACCCAGGCTCTCCCTCCAATATTTTCACCACCTCCGTATAAACAATTAAATTATTAATCCATTAGTGGATTAACCCACTGATGAGGTTAGAGCCCTTATGTTCCAACCACATTCTAAAGGCCTTACCTTTGAACATGTCTGTTTCGAAGACAAACTCAACATATGAGATTGGGGGGACATTTAAGATTCAAGTCATAATTAGAAATTTATTGTCAGAAACAATACATTATAGAATTCCCATTTCGCAAAATAAAATGAAACAAAAACTCAGTAATAACAAAATTCTAGGCTTCAGAATTTTTAACTTCAGAATTCTTTAACTTCAGGAAAATCAAGAATATCTAACTACTATTTTAAAATATGGCTTTGGAACTTGTCTCTAAAGTAATAATATATGAAAGAAAATGATAAACATTGGTAAGAAACCAATAATATATAATTCACTTACAAATGAATGATATGCCAAGAAAAAAACAAATAGTTTACTTTGTGGAAGTCTTAAAAAAAATCCTACATAAAATTGGCCAGAAATAAGTAAATATTAAAAAGTTAATAACATTCTTGTCTAACAATAATATCCAGCTAAAAAGTATAATGAATCATGAGACTTTATTATGTTAAATCAAGGTAAATTTGGTCCGAAGCCTCCTCTGTCCCTTGAGTCCCTATGTATCAGAGCTGCAATCTAATTGTGTTTGTAAACATGCTGAAAGCCTAATATAGGAGTACATTTTTCTAACAAATAGCTGAACAGAGCCAACATAGCTGTCATGCTTCAGCCAATCACAGATTACCAAATGATCAGACCATGTGCAAATAAGGCAAAGCCATCTGTAAGTCATCAAGCTAGTTCTGTAGGCCACTTTCAATTTCTGTCTATAAATACTTCCTGTGCAGGTTGTGGAGCAGAGCTTCCTGAACCTCTTCTGGTTCTAAGTCCTGCCTGATTCAAATATTGTTCTTTGCTCAAATAAACTCTTTTAAACTTTGTCCAAAGTGTTTCTTTCAATAATTAATAAGGATAAAAATTTTTAGGAAACTCTATAAACTCATATATTGACAGTCTTGGGTGAGAAGATGAAGTGAAAATATCTGTATACCCCAAATTTTTTTTACTACAATTACCATAAAAAGCAGAATAGGGATCAAATCTAGGGAGTAATAACTCAGTGAAATGATTTTAAAATTTCTATGGAAAAACAAATGATGAGAATATACAAGGCACTATGAAAACTGAAAATCAATGTGCTTGAAAATAGGGGTTGGAGTTACAACACAATTGTATTTTTAAACATCTCTTTTACATTTTAAATAAAATACCAAGAAATACAATTCTTCCTTGGGAAGAAATAAAGATACAGATCATTGGAACAGACTTGAAAGCCTAAAAAGAAACATACCATATGTAAAAGCAATGTATGATAAAGTTTTACAAAATAGAATTATTTAAGAATGCTTAATTTGTGGTGTGATGGGGCTGAGGCTATGGCTCAGGGGTAGTGCACTTGCCTAGCATGTGTGAGGCACTGGGTTCGAATCTCAGCACCATAAATAAATAAATAAATAGATAGATAGATAAATGTCAATCAACAACATATATATTTATAAAAAATATGTGGTGTGAGATAACTTAATAGTAAATTAGGAAAATAAAAGAATTAGACTCATCTTTATACCATATAAAATGCATTGTGGACAGATTAAAGAGTTAAAATTTAAAAAGTTAAAATACAGAAAACTTAATATAGAATAGAATATTTATTACCTCTGTGGATAATTCAGTTCTCTATTTTGAAGTAATAAGACATGTAAATGAAAGTTGAGAATCCAAACCTAAAATGTAAAAAAGTCCATATTAATTAGAAAAGCAAAATAAAATCCAATGGGCAGTACAGGGAAGAAATATTTATATCAAATATGACATGCAATATTAAATGCAATAATTCGAAAGTACAAAATGAAGTTTCAGTTCTTAAAAGGACAGTGAGTAAATATGTGCTGACAATTAACATGAATAGAATAAAAGAGTAACAGGCATATGGCAAACCTTAAATTAATATCTACCTTCAGTACCAATGTTCCAATCCTATTGATTCCAATTCAGACTTATTTTTCTGAAATTATGCACTTGACCTCTGCTCCATTTCAACCACTTTTGCTCTGGAACAGGCCTTCATATCTCTTCTATTTTGTAGTAACTCCCTACTTATATTGACTGACTCTAGCCTTACCCTGTCACTTTCCACAAGTCTATCATTCACCAGAGTAATCTTTTTAAAATGTAAATCTGACCATACCGCCATCTTTCCCCTATTCTTACCCTCAGCCTAAAAGCTTTGATTTATTCCATTATGAGTTTCAGAATCAATTTCAACACTCTTAATATTTTATGCAATATGCTCCCTGAACTAAGCTCTTATTATGTTCCCAAACTAATATCTGACACTCTTTACATTTTATTTCTTTTTAAATGAAACCATATATTATGTTAATCAAGATATAGCCACCCATATTTCTAAAGTCAAACAGTCCTGCACAGCTTATTAAAAAATCAGCCTCTCTTCTCTAATTCATACCAGTTCACCCCTATTTCTCCTCCACATGAACTGACTGGCCCTCAAGGTAGTTAGTGTAGGGGGCAAAGCACAATCTGGAGTAGAAGATGAAGGGGAAAAGGAAATAACATTTGTCTTTTCCTTTTAGTTTTCAAACTTGAAGGACCAGTTTTGGGAGGGGTAGAGAATGAATCCTGATTTATTATCAGGTGCCTGTGGGTTTTCCAAGTAGAGACGCACAGAGAAAGATCAGAAGAAAGACCTGTGCTGAAGTTATATACTATGAATGAAAACTGAAGCCAGGAAATGATTCAGGTGGCCCCATAGAGGGGTACAGATTGAAAAAGTGGGGACAGAATCTTGAGGAAACCCAGTAAGGGCAGAAGTTTCATAGGAAAGAGTACAGAACTGAAATTGAGTATACAGATTCCCAACGATATGACAACACATATTTCTGCACTTCTTTAACATAGAATTAGGATTCCATGCATGTACAGTTTCGGGTCCTGGTTTTGTAAATATTTTATATTTCTTTTTATTGAAGTAAAACACTTACGTGGCTTACAAAGTTAAATAGTACTAGAAGGCCTGTGACTAAAACAAGCAGTGTCTTGCCTTACCTCTCTATTCTATTTTCTGCTCCTTGGTTTAAATCCTTTGCCTGTGTCTTCCAGTATTTACCTCCATGTGCCTAGATAATATGCTATTTCTGGAAGTTCTTGATTTCTCATTTTTAGATATCTGACGATTCTGTGCCATGGATAATAAGAATTTAGCTATTATAAACATACTCTCCCCACCATTCTCTCTCACACAGTCACATTCCATTTTTTTCCCAATATAGATATATCACAATTATTGGTTAAACAATATTCAGTGTTTATCTCATTACAAGTATGTAAATATTGTTCACAGTGCATCCATGTATTGTATTACAATTGCATTTCCTTCTTTTTTACAGCATTTTGTTTCCCCTATAGTTAATAATAGTCTTAGTTATTCATTTGCCTGGTTTATTATGTATCCAAAGCCTGACATAAATGTAAACATTATCCCAGTGCATTAAATACATAGGTTATCTACCAGATTTTTCCTCCTTCTGCAGTCAGCCTTCCTTTGCCCTTAGTCTCTCTAAATCAATCTGGAAGAGTTGCTCTCAATCCATATCACAGCTGTCATCCTGGGATTTGCTTTCACTACCATTCTAGGCATCACTCTTGACCCTTTTCTGTGCCAAATCTTCCATGCCTTGTCTTGGTTTACCCTTTTTGGTCCTTTCTCATTCAGATGAAGCACATCTTTCAATAGCTTCCTGAGAAAGGAAAGATGGGAAATGTTATCAAAACATTTTCCTTTGAAGGAAAATGTCTCTGCTCTGCTTTCATGTTTGAATTTTATTTTTACTACTACTAGGGATTTAACCAAAGGGTATTTAACCACTGAGCCACATCACCAGTCATTTTTTTTTTGAGACAGGTTCTCACAAAGTTGCTAAGGGCCTCACTAAAATGTTAAATTGATGGCTTTGAACTTTCAATCCTCCTTCCTTAGCCTCCAAAGCTGCTGGGATTTATAGGCATGCACTACTGTGCCCTTCCTCAATTGAAATTCTTTTACTGTGAGAATTTCGAAGTCTGTACTTCATTGTCTTTGAGGTTCCAGTGTTGATTTTGAGAAATTTTATGTCATTCTGAATTCTGAGTCTTTTTCCTTCTTGGCTCATGCTGTCTGCCTCTCTCTCTCTCTCTCTCTCTCTCTCTCTCTCTCTCTCTCTCTCTCTCTCTCTCTCCCCCCCCCGCCTCTCTTTCTGTCTCTGTCTCTGTCTCTCTCTCCTACTTTGAAGGCTTTTGAGATTTCTTCATTATCTCGGTGTTCTTAAATTTCATAAATATACTTCCTGCCTGGATTTACTTTGAATATATCTTCCCACTGCTTTTTTCCTCCACTGTTTCTGCTCATAAATCAACTAGGCTTATTATCATCATCTTCTAGCTTATACATATTGTGACCAGCTGGATTATTTAGTGAAGTCTCTCACCCTCACCCCCAGGCATCTAGAATTTGCTCTTTAGTAAAGTCACCCTTCCCTGGGATGATCATGGGTTTAGCAGGGATCTCTCCATGTATTTTCCCGAACACACCCAGGTGTTACACTCCACTCATTACCAACTTATTTATCTATTGTTTTCAACAATGGCCTGGGCCAAATTGCCTTACATACTATGAAAACAAATTCAGTCTCCTTAAAAGAAATGCCACTGTTTAATTGTTTTGGTACCAGAAATGATCCTTTCAATTATCTCTTTCTCTGGTTATCTTCTGAAAACTACTCTGCCTATAATTCAGCCTATAATTTATTGAATCTATGAATCTCCTTCTAATCATCTTTTACCACATCCTCTACTTTTTCTTGAGAGTGTTCTCAAGCTGCACATTCTCCATGCTCTGTTACAAATAAAGTCAGTTTCTCTGGGAAGCGATTAGGAGCCTTTTGTTCTACCTATCTACATATCCTTACAACATTTCTGTGCCATTCTGAAGCTTGGGTTGGGGACAGCATCATGCTTCTGCCTGAGTAACACTCCCTTTTTAAGAGTTGAGTTATACTGGGCATGGTGGCATATGTTTGTATTCCCCAGTGGCTTGGGAGGCTGAGGCAGGAGGATTGTGAATTCAAGACCAGCCTTAGCAACTTAGCGAGGCACTAAGCAACTCAGCAAGACACTGTATCTAAATAAAATACAAAAAATGGCTGTGGATGTAGCTCAGTTAAGCACCCCTGGGTTCAATCCCTAGTGCGCGCGCGCGCGCACACACACACACACACACACACACACACACACACACACACAGCTGAGTTCTATGGCACAGGAAGGTGGTGTGGTACATGATCTCAGGCTACCTCTCTTGACATGAAATTACTACTTTGTACAGCCAAGCAAAATTGATCAGGGACTTGTGGTTTTTTTTGTTTTGTTTTGTTTTGTTTGTTTTTTTTTTAGTGGTCCTACATCCAGTAGAGTCTCTGAAAGACAAGGGCTATGTGAAAAAAGGGAGCATTTGCCACACTACTGCACTTACCTGGAAATTAGTATCAGTAATAAGCAGCTTGGAAGCAGGATGAGAAATGCTGAAATTCCTGGGAATAAAAGCTATCAACAAGAAACTAGGGGATGAGGGAACAGCATTATGTTCTTGGCTGCACCAGTCTGTAGTGGAATCTCTGCTTTATTGATTCTCTGTCAACTAGGTCAAAATCGTCAACTTTATTGTCCAGTGTGGCATAGGGTTTAAAATTAAAGCCCAATGTTATTTCCTGCCTTGACATCTGGGAGAAATTAGGATTGCCTAAAGTGACCTAATTGCAAACTACCCTCCATACTAGGCTCCCACATAAAAGGTTTTCGAGCCAATTCATGCATCATTATTAAATGTATTAGGTATGGTTATGGTTTATTCCTGAATAGCTGATTTTTGTTCCTTACCAGCCCACAGAATCATTCAAGAAAGCCAATCATATCTTCCCATGTGTGAAGGGTCACCCTCACCCTTTGGTTACTACAAAGTCTGTGTCCCATAGCTCCTGGTATGCAGTGTTTTCCTCCCTAAGCTGTGAGCATATGTGAGTAATAAACTGCTATTAATCTAATCTTTCAAATATTAAGTTCATCCAATATTCAGCCATCCTCGTTACCCTGGGATAAGAATCTCTTCCTCACCAATTCGGTGAATGGGAAGAGATTAAAATAATTGGCATTATTAACAGGATGGCCCAACTCTAACTAATGATACCTGGTCAGCTTTTGCTTTTGCTTACCTAACTGATTCTATGATACAGAGAAGGTTGTCTGGGATAAGATTACCAATTGCTGGTGAGCAAGCTGGTCAGCATTACATTGTTGTCTTCATCAGGTGGTGCTTTCTCTTTCCATCCTAAAGTGGTTTTGTCTCCAGATAAAAATCATTATTTGACTATGTGCCATGCCACTGTGTTTAGACTATATTTGGCAGGTTGGACTTGAGGCTCCTGCCTACAAAGGTAATAGCAATGCATGTCATAATTGTTCTGTACTTCAAACTTGCTTACCACGTGTTGGGGTAGGTGATGGTCCCTGGCTGTTTGGCAGAGCCATGGAAACACTATTTGTGATTGTGCACACTCTAGGTTGGGCAGAGGAAAATATCTTTTGTGAAGTTTTTCAGAAAGAAAATAGACTACTATCCCAGGAAAAATTAAACATGGCACCAATGTTGCCTAAGAGTTATTGTTATTCAGGC